AGTAGCTTCACGTGTGCGACGAAGGATGATTTCAGTCGTTGGGAATTCGATGTGATCCGATATTAAGAGCACTTGAACCGTCAACATTGTTAACTTCATAAGTTCCGCTCTTCTTATCGGCCACTGAACTCTTGAATGGTTTAATGTATTTAGCCGTAAGCACAGTTGTATCGGAGTTGCATCGCTTTTGTCTCTTCTTGAGCGCGATATCTTTCATCTCTCTCAGACAAGAAAAGACGACGTTTCTAGTACGACGCATCTTCTCTAACCATGGTAACACATGATCTTCTTGAGAATCCTTGTTGAAAGGTATTTGTAGTTCACTATAACGGCCCCTAAAATAGTCAGCGGGTGTTGTACCAGTGACTGAATCCGGTGTCTCGTTCATTTGTGTCTGTACCCAGTTAATTGAATACGGCCACAAGTCAGCATCGTCTAGCAACGCTCCACGCATGAACTCCTTCATCTTTCTGTGTCGTACCTCATTCGCACCTTGTGTCTGAGGCTTGTAAAGTACACCCATTTTGTGGCATGATCCCGCAACGAGTAACAGCGTCGTCATGACGTCTCCTGTAAACTCACTACCGTTGTCGGTACATACTATAGCTGGCCAGCCGAAATCTGCGAAACACTTATAAATGCACTCAGCCACCGTTTGAGTTGATTTGTCTTTCAGAGGATATAGTACACTATATCTTGAAGCAACATCAAAAACGTGGTAGACATACTTGCCTTTCGTGTGTTTAGACGTGGGCAGCTCAACCAGATACACTCCGCAATGGGGCATATCCATAGCGCTTGATTCGGTTAACTTCGCAGTTGTTACATTCGTGATACACCTGAAATATATATTGCTTGCGCTTTGGGTGTACAATCCCGTATCTCTTGCAATCTTTCTCAGTCCGAACCTTATCCATGTGCTTAAGTGCATAATTCTGCCTTAACCACTTGAATATGTCACCCTCCGTTGATCTTGCTATATCAAAATCTGGAGGTGAGGAGTCCACTACTACATCACCTGGACTCGAAGACTCTTCTCGTCCAGTCTCGCCTGAAAGGTCGGCCGTGTGAATTCTACTAATGTTCTCTGTCCATTAGTTGAATTACATGGTCGTATACATCTGGAAAATCGTTCATCAACTGTTTGAGTAGCCTGGTCTCGGCCTCGTATGCAGTTTCTCTATTAGAACGTATCCTTTTGTAAAATGCCTTCTCTAATGATGAGTTCCTCTTTCAATTTTGTAGGTTCAGATTGTACCTCAGCAACGCATATCGCAGGTGCGTGTGTCACCCCAGCCTCTCGTTGAGACCTAATTGTCAAGAGTGGAATCTTGGATTCTTCGACCTTACGTTGGAAGGTCTCGGATGGTGTCCATTTGGTTTTACCAACTGGACCTATACGACATATTATTGTATATCGCCAAGGAGTCTTCTGGACTACACGAATACCCTGGTAGAGGAAAGTATCTACCTCTCTATCCACATATATGGGCTCACATTGAATCATCGATATCAACTGTGGTAGCCACTTATCTGAATGTCTTAGGGGACAACACAACGTGCTGGTAGCATCTTGTATATGAACATAATTTAGCAACTGTGGTATCAACAACCACGGTGGATTCGCCCAGGCATTCTCATCAGTTAAATCGATTTGAAGCCCATCACCGTCTGGATGTTGCGTACGGTATCGCGGCAGTTGCGCATTATGGTGTGCTGCAAACATATCAATGGTATTTGGTCCATATATGTTGTCTGCAATTTTAAACCACCTAGGATTGGCTTTCCAATCCGTAGCTAGCAAGTCCCGAACCATCTTATTGAAGTCCGGTACGAAGCGTGACAGCATATCCGGTAAATGATTATGTATGCCCGGTATATGTGTTATGCTAAAGAAAACTTTGCGATCGTATCGTGCCATCGACTGACCAATTGTGAATTCGGGTTCATGTCCTTTAAATGTTGCACCGATTTCTGATCGCACAGTACATTAAAATGTGTGCAGTAAAGATAGTCCTTAAAATGAGTGAGTGCGGTTACAATAGCTAGTAACTCTTGTTGCACGGTCGGATAATTGATCTGTGACGAGTTCATAGCTCTGCTAAAGAACTGCACGTATCTCGGTTCTCCGTCAATCATTTGATACAGAACGGCTCCTAATGCCATGTCGGATGAGTCTGTAGCCACTATGAAGGGTATTCCATCTTTTGATGGCTGGACTACTGGGGCTTGTTGAACCACTGTTTTGAGCTGCTTAAAGGCATCATCACAGTCTTTGGTCCACAACGCTCCTAATTTGCCCTTGTGACATCTTAAATGTCCGAAAGGCTTCAAGTAGCTTGCCAGGTGTGGAACTCCGTCTGACAGGAAGTTAACAAAACCGCACATGCTGTTCACGTCCTTGCCTGTAGTGGGGGTTCTTCAGTCTAGTAAGTGTTCTACTTTTCCGGGGTCGATTATAATGCCTTCCCCAGATATACGATAACCCAACAACTGTATCTCGTTAACACCAAAATGACATTTCTTGCTGTTGATCTTAAACTTGTGTTTTTTAGCCTTGCCAGTACCTCTCTTACAACCCTGTCATGCTCCTCTTTAGTTTTAGTAAACACGACAATGTCATCGATATATACCTGAACATTATTCAGGCCTTGCATGATTTGTTGAAAGAAGACTGGTAGCATATGTAAACCAAAAGGGACTCTTTTAAAAGAATACTGCTGTCCATCCCAAGTGAAGGTGAAATACTTCCGATGTGGTTTGTATATCGTCATTTGGTGGTAGCCTTGCTTCAAATCGATAGTCGAAAATATTTTCGTACCTTCCGTTCTTCTCAGCAATTCATTAATTCTTGGTAAATGGAAATTATGTGTGGGTATAAGAGTTTTTAGAGGACTCATATCCAAACACATGCGAACCTTCTTTAACGTGTCATCAGAGTTGAACTGGTCTACAGCCAAGTGTGTCAGGTTGACAGGAGTAGGTTCGTAGTTGACTGCGATTACTCCGTTTTCCAACCATGTCTTCTTATTCTCGTACCACCTGTTCATGACGCCACGTTACGTAATTGCGCGTTGGATATTTCAACTTCGAAAAGTCTAGTTTTATCAAATCTAAGCTCACATTCCGTTATTGAATTTAAACTGATCCCAGTCGGTGATCTTTATCTTGCTGTTCACAAAAATAAGATCCTTTAGCTTATCTGTATATTGGGGTATCATTTCCTTCACAGTCTTAGAAGGCTGGTATACAGGCTTCAGCAGAATATCGTCTGACTGATCTTTCTGTGGGTCAATGTTCGTTGGCAAACCGGCAATTGTTATACCTAACGATAACAGCTCTCCCATCCCCACTATTAAATCGTAATCTGGCGAATCAATGTGGTCCGTTGATCTGCAAGGGTAAACCTTAAATCTACGGCCATGTCACGGCATATAATCCCCTTTTCGTCAGCTAATTTTAACACAGTAGGTTAAATACAGAATCTTGATGATAAACATGAAATTTGTTAGCCCGGATCCAGTAACGCTTTTATTTCATGCCCATTAACTCGTACATCCAGAATGACACGCTCATCTTGCGGTGCATCCTTTTGCTTCAGTGCCAAGATCCGGTATGATTGTCACTTAACTTCTACCTTCGGTTGCACCTTACATATGTGTTTGTGGTAACCTCCAGTCCCTTCGCAGTCTGCACACTTCGCGATAAAATGTTTACATTTTTCTGCGTGCCTGCCATTCCAGCGTCCATTCGGCTCATGTTGGGTCATGCGCCAGCTGCAATCTGTCTCAGCACAGTCCTTGGTCTCCCTATATTTTGGTTTAGGAGGATCGGCTGCCTGATTAGATCTATTGGCATGGGTCCCGCGAGTGTTGACATTGTTCTTAAGACCATCAGTACCTTGCTTGGCCTAATGGCCTCCTCTGTCACCAACTTTGTTCCCCTTGTTATTTCAGTCTCGACCGGTACCTGATCCTCCATTCGTGTTGGGTACCGTCTTCTTAATAGACGATGTGAATTTCACCACAGAACTCGGACGGTTCGAAAACGTCTGGTCTGCTCTCGAATAATTTCAGTCCTTGTCAAGTCGGCGAGTTTTATGATGCCGTCAGTTGGCCCTTCAGTTGAAATCTCGCGTACTTTGTCCGGGAAAGATTGGTGTATATCTGCGTACAATACATTCTTGGTCTTTTCTATGCAGAGCCGACCAGAAAATAGTTTTTACCCACAGCACACACATACTCAGCTTGTCTCGCGACATTTCTTGTGGCTGAGCACGTGTTATATGAGTGTCCAGTTCCAAAAGGTAATGTGACACTGGTGTTCCTTCGTCCGGTGGTACCATTATTGATACCAATAATTCCGGTCTAGGATTGGTTGAGAACAGATGGACTATCATCTCGCTTTGCTCCTTCATGTATTTAGCTTTGTTATAGTAGCTCTAGCCTTCCCCAACTTATTATACTTATAAGATGACGGCTTAAAACTCTGTTGCGCAGCCTCGAACCATAAGTTCTTACGTAAATTTGCAGTGAGCATAGTTTGACCAAATTCTTTCAAAGATCGCGACAATAAAGCTAAATCACTCGTATCGATAGGGTCCTTACGGACTTTTCGATCCGAACGATACGTAAGGGGTAACTTACCTATGTCCTTGACGAACTTCTTACTGTCCACTGACTTCTCGGCGTGTATAATGCGTAGCTCCGTATCAATCTTATATTGAAAGTGCCTCGCCATTGTTATTCTCAAACTGGCTTGCTCTAACTTTCCTTGATCCATTGCTAGCATCACATCCTCTTTTGCATTGAGCATTCGAGCAGTGAAATCACAATTTTCTTGTCACTCTCTGAAATCTCATCAAATGGCGTGTCCATCTCCTTCAGTCCATGTAGTCACTGAATGTCTCCATCGTCACCGTCATCCTTTCGTGCCTTCTTGCGAGTCGTCATCGTCTTCTGCGTCTTCGACTGCTTGGCTGATGGCGGCAAGTTATCTGGTCAGTCTGGTTTTTCAAATTCCGGCGATGACTGATCCTCGTCTCCGCTAGAACTCTTAGACTTCTTTTCCAGCGTAAATTTTCGTTTGCCGATCTTCTTCCGGTCTTTGTATTCCTGGAATTCAGCCGCCGACTTTCGCAATTCGCGCAGGGAATCATCTGTGTCTCGGCCATCTGAATCTTCTCGTCCAGAGTCTGCCCCCTGTTCTGATTCAGATTCTGAAGCCCCTTTACCTTGTGGTATTAGGTCTCCCGGTCCTGATTCTGTCTGCTTTTGCTTCGGCATCTCCTTGGATTTCTTAGATTTCTTGGGCTTGGTCTTGCCCTTTGTAACGTCATCAAAATAATCCGCAGGCAAAGCGTGTGCCATCATATTTGTCACAGCTTCGTCCGCTTACGGGTCAGGCGTCAAAGAGTGTTCCAAAGGCGTAACCTTCGGCTGGTTCTATTATGCCATCGCTTTTTCTTTACCCTTCGTCATATACTTCCGATAGCGTCTAAACTTAAAAACATGTAAATGTCAGACTAACCAGGCTGACTATCGGTTTCAATGAATTAACGTAAAAGAAAAGTAAGATTTTAAAGTAAATTGCACAATGTAATTTTAAGTTTAGCTTCAGCCCTTGGTAATGAGCTAAAGATTAGGGGATGTAAGACTGAGACTATTGTCTTTATGGCTCCGCTCTAATCACTCAATACTTCTGTCTAAAAAAAAATTGGTGTCAGTAAATAAAATCATATCTCATTTCATTGGATGTATGATATTTCATTCTATATCATTCTATGCCTCGAAACTACGTTCCAATCGCAATTACCAATAAAACAACTCTAAGTCCAACTCAAGAAAAATATAAATAAAATCAAAAACTCCATGCTGGTACAGTTAAATGTCAGTACCTATACCCCATCACATGGTACCTAGCTCTCCATCCCATTGAAGGCATAGACGGGCACATCTAGTTGGCCGGCTAGGGGGGGATCTTATTCATGCTGAGAGTATTTGGTAATACAACATGTGTCATCAAGTGTCAGTATCACGTGAGACTCGCCCAGTGTTGTATCCCAATATTCTGATGGAAATTATACATGTAGAAAAACCATCATATCAATATCGACAGAGTCTCATTTCTCTGTCGTATACAATTATCAACAGAGTCTCATTTCTCTGTCGTATACAATTATAGTTCCAAATATACAAATTAGATTATTTGTCAATTATCTACAATTGCGTTTCAACGTATACCAGTTTTCATAACCGTAATAACGTTTGAACGATAATACGTTTATAATACTATAGGAACCCGCTGATTTTACACATATTTATCTGCCCAGTTATTGCCGATGTCACAAACCAGTCGCTGCATGGCAATTTCAGATGAGCCGATTCCTTGTTTGTACCAAGCGACACACTTGGCTGCAGCTTTAGTTCCTAATCGCATAATGTCTCTTCTCCCACGTTGTCGTTTCTTGCAATAGCTGGGCTTAAGTATAAGATGGAAGGCAGCATCTATCTGCCCGACGTTAGAAAAACTTGGTAAAGGTGCTTGAGTATCGTTATGCGCAGCTGCTGAAACGACATTCAAACCGTTACAGAAGCTGATCACGGCTTCTACTATCACATTCCCTTGTGCAGAGCCTGTATCGTTTTTGAAGAAGTGCTTTGTTCCTGTGCGTCTAGTCTTCGTCGCATTATCTGGGTTGATGAATTCACTGATGAACGGTTGCAACTCTTTGTCATCTGCATATACACCATCGTACGGCTCAACCACAGGTAGGATATCCGTTTGGGTATAGACAATCAAGCCAGTGTGAGTGATTATAATATCGTGAAACTCTGTTGCGCCGTGTCTAATTGCTTTCTTGATCCATGTTAACTTCTGTTTCGTCGGATATGTTCGGCCTACCACAGCAACTGCCGTGTTCAAGATCGTTCTCGTTCGCCTTTTTCGTTCGTGATCCCAGCACACCAATGCTTCAAATATATCATTCGGACAAGTGATGTCGTGTATGGATATTATCCAGTTGTTGATAAATTATTGTACGTACGAAAAGTGAGCGTCCAGTACGGATTTACTTGAAGAAATCAAAAGTTAGTATTGGTTAACTGATGACGTTTCGTGTCATATTATGTAGCAAGAATTAGTAATAAGTACACATACATTGAGAAACTACAGGTCTCAGGCCAGATTTTACAGCAAGAAACCATCTTTGATTTATGGAAGTCATCAGAGTTAGCTCACTCCCGAGAGCTAATCAAGTTGCACAAATTACTCTCAAGAGTTGAGTTATTACTTAACCGACTTCCGAGAGCAGATTTAGTTTCTCAACCGATTCCCGAGAGTGGATTAAGCCTATCAACCACAACATATTAATAATAGCTGCGGTTCTATGTGAGTCACAACCTATGCGGAATGGCATCATGTGATCAGCGTGAGTTTTAGTTGCAGAGAAGTTGAAAATGAAAAGCATCGAAGTGTTAAAGTGTTCCGCATAAGGTTTCTCATACTGACCATATGAGTTTTTACCCTGGCCAGCCCAAGTGGCTGAACACTAGCACAAACATCTTAGGTATAAAACCAAAGGTGAGGTCAGAAATAAATATATACATTTGCACTTTATTTAAAGTCTACTGCATTGTACTCTGACATACATACCCACCTGGGCTTCGATAAAGTTCCATCGTTTGATCTGCAAGTCAATGCCCATAGTCTTGAGTTTCCGATTGATCCGCACACATTCTATAAAATTGTCTGGCGATGAAAATGATCCAGCGTTGTCACTTTGTAGGATGATCGCTTTTTTACTTGGAAACTGCTTCTTTATACGTAGGAATAATAATAAATTATTTCAAAAAAAGAAAAGTTACAATGTATGTATATTACAATGAACATATGGTATGGATCTCATAGCCGTTGCAGTGGTTCGGGAAAGATCAATGGGAAAAAAGTGGTCAGTAAATTCCCGTTTGAAGCTTGGGCCAATTGAGTCGACGATAGAGGATATGCGCTGAGTCAATTCGGGCCGGTGCTGACAAAACACTGATACCATCGAATGTGCCATGTATTCGCTTGTTGACCTACTAGGTAGCGTACCACCTCTGTGATACGGATCGGGTCTGCGCCGTGTTATGCCGTGTGCTGGCTGGCCTGGATCGGAAGTATCATAGGCGGGACAGGACCAACAAGCGCGATGATTGGGTTGAACTGACATTTGGAAGTAGTACTTCAACGGCGTGATTGGCCGGGGTATGGGGAACATCTGTTGATGTGTCAGAGACGGGTGAGGGTACGGTGGTGCTTCTACATGTTGGAGAAAATATCCAAGGTGTTCGTGGAGGGTCCAGATACCGTGGAAGTCGTGGCACTCCTGTAACTGCTGAAGGAGGTAAGGGCCTATGGGCGGCAGTTTCGGGCCTACCAGGATGCGTCGAATCAGTTGTTGGATGCAGGTAAAGTGGCTAGTGGTGAACTTGTGGCTACCGGGGCAGACAGGGCAGAGACAGCCGTCGGTGCGGTAGTCAAGCAATGTGAACATGTACGTATTCGTTGCAATCATAGCACAGAGCCGGATTGATGTAGGCTCGAGGCAGCGGTTGAAGCTGTCGTGTCTGGCTTTGTCTCGGTTTGAGGTTGGCGGTTTACCCATAACCAGTTGGTAGTAGTATTGACGCCGAACCTTTGCCGCGATCTCCTTGTTGGACCAGCGGTTTGTTGAGTTCTTCCTGATGTCGTCACGGCGTTGGAGGAGGGCTACATGGCCAGGTGTACGCCCGCACGTGGTTTTGTGTACAGTTTTCAGGTGAGCATAAATACTGTACGGGAAGCGCAGTGAAGGTTTGTCGTGGGCCCAGGCGGGTTGCGTCAGAGGGGTGAGTGGATTTGTGCTGGCCATTGAGTCGAGTTATATTCCCAGGCAACCTCTGAGGTAGTCCGCGAATGGTCGCGCGGGAAGCAGGCCACAAAAGTGGAGTAAGTTTAATTGATGTTTGGGAAACCGAGGGTATTTAGCGCCCGTGATGATGGCTGATGCTTGGATGCGTACTGAGTTAAAGCGCTCGAACAGGGAGTCCAACGCATCCTTCCATATAGGCGGAGCCCAGGCGATAATGTTCAGGCCATATGTAGCCGTGGAAAGGATGAATGCTTTGAACAGCACCAGTCGGTTGCGGGGGTGTCGCCAGCTGAAGCCATGGGAGCCATAAGCGCGGAAAAGGGCGATACCCAGAGACAATGCTGCAACCAGGGATTGCATATGTCTGGCGAGGTTTATCCCTGGTATTCCGTGAGAGAGTGGGAACCCTGGATATTTGGAGTGTTTCGGTTTGGCATGTGTGGGCGTCATCTTCAGGGGGAGAAAACGTCTGTTCCAAGGTGCGTCTGCAAGCGTCGGCGTGATAAGCTCACCATTTAAACGGAGGGTTGGCGCCGCGTGTCGCAAGTCGGTAGATCGCACTCGGGGTTTAATGACACTTTGTTCGAGGCCGTCATCTAAGAAGGGCTGGAGCGGAACCGATTGAGGGGCTTGGATTCGTGTGTCATCGACAAATAAATAAGATCGGAGGAGCTTGGGCCGAAATTGTGCTAACTTGACAGCTAAGGAATCCATGTAGATAGTAAAGAGCTGGGGCCCGACGATTGAGCCTTGTAGGATTCCATTCGTTCTATGGAATAGAGGCGAGAGCGTGCAGCGGTATGTCACTCGGGTAGGGACCCTCTCAAATAGCGCGCGGAGGCAGTTGATCCAGTTTTCGGGCATTCCAGCGTGGCGCAGGAGTACCCATAGTTGGGTATGACAGGAGTACCGTGATTTGAAGCCAGCTTGGGTAGCGTAGGTAGCAGTTTTCAAAGTTGCGTCTGACTATTTGCGTAAGCGTGATGGGGCGGAAGTCGGTGGGGGAGGTGATATCTGCATCGGCTATCTTTGGGTGCGCTGTCAGGAGGCTGCAGGGAAGGGCTGCAGGGAAGGTACCCGCCTTCAGTACCTCAGTGAATGCTTCGGCAAGGAGTATAAGCAGTGGGCTTGTGGCATCGGGGCGTCCAAATGTCCGGCGTTCGGTGGAGCGCTCCACTGCGGCCTTCAGGAGGAGGATGTGGATCCCGTCGGGATAACTTCCATTACATCGTCGGGGCATATGGTGGAAGTGACATCGGGAGAGGGTTCAGTATCCGGCGGAACCACGTACGGGTTTGTAGAGTTGAATAGGTCCTCAGAGTAGCCAGCGAGAGTGGCGCCTGTGTCACCGGTACCCGGTATGCAGGGTTGGCGCGGCGACCGTCGTTGGTACGCAATATCTTTGAACATTTGAGCATTGCTTTGGGCGGTCAGACGTGGGCGGAACGAGTGGTTTGGCAGCCGCTGAACCCAGGGTCT